GAACTGCTTGAACTTTGTTCTAGAGCATCAGATAATACTCTGTGTCTTTGGGGCAGGTCCCCCCCCCCCCCTCCCAAACACTGGCAGCTTTGCACAGTAAGTGTCTTTTGACTTGGAATTCATTAAAGAGTGATAAAACCAAGAAATGTGCATAAATCAGAGGGTTAAGAGCTAGTTAAACCCTAACTGGAGTAATAAGTAGAGCTGGCCAAACAGTGGGAAAATGACTGCCCAAAATGTTGACGTGGTTCCTGTTTCACAAGGTTCAAAGTTGGAGGCCCCCTCCTTCCTTTTAAAAATTTTTTGCAGTAGCTTTTGAAACTGCGATAGCCATTTGTCGTTTACCAAAACCTGTGTTTTGTTACTGCAAACCGGGGTTTGGTCAATGAGGAGTTTCAGTAATTTAGAAAACTTCTTTGAGAAATGAATAAGAATGGGGAGGGATAGCTCAGTGGTTTGAGCATTGGCCTGCTAAAATCCAGGGTTGTGAGTTCAATCCTTGATGGGGCAACTTAGGGATCTGGGGCAAAATCAGTACTTGGTCCTGCTAGTGAAGGCAGGGGGCTGGACGCAATGACCTTTCAAGGTCCCTTCCAGTTCTAGGAGATAGGATATCTCCATTAATTATTAAAAATGTCATGGAAAGGTGTTTAGAAAAGAGAGACTATCCACAACGGTGACAATTTCTCACCAAACTTAATTTTTTTTTGAAAAAGGCTGTTCTGTGATTGGAAAAACCTTTTCTGTGTCTCCCCCACCAAAAAAAGCCCACCCTTAGTAACTCAATGGTGCTACTCTGGAATTCTCCTACCAGCTTGTGTTGCCTGTGATGGTATTTGCATTGTTCAGTGCTGCTTTGAGGAGTTTAAGGGTTACTGCTTTTCCCATTCCACACATCCGGAGACCAGAGTTCTGTTCTTGGTTCTGACACTGATTAGCTGAGTGACCTTGGGCACTTCACCTCGCGGCCTCACTTTCCCCATCTAAAATGTTTGAGAGGGTGGGTAGCAGTGTCCAGTCCATCCTCCTTGTCCAGACCACTCGATGTTTTGTATATCGTTCACATGTTTGCTCCGTGTTGTCTCCTCTGTAAGGTAAGCACTTCTAATCTTTTCACTGGCTCTATCAGCATAGAAAACCTCTCCTGTAGTCATTCTCAGTCTAACTTTAAACCAGCATGCCACACAGGTGGGAATGTGAGTAGCAACAGAGGCTATTTAATCTATAGGCATTATTACCATCCTACTGTGATGTGGGGCTTCGATAGATGCAATCAGCTAAGTACCAGGGGGGAAGGCTACCCATACAAGTGGTTGAAATCCACTCAACTGAAAGGCTTCATGCTGCTTTGAAAGTACTGAAGGGCTGTTTTATTTCTCAGCTTGTATCTTTAGTTTTCACCTTTCTGTGCGATCCCATTAACTGGGCCTGTGTCAAAGATCATGGAGGCTTCTCTCCATTTCAGGGACTGGAGTCTGTGTTTACTGACGGGAGCTGGTAGTGTTCTGTGCTGTTACTCCTAGCCCGCTGGAAAGTGAAATACTGTATTTGACAACCTCCTAATTGTCTTAGAAATGGATATGTCCTGTTATTTGTAAGTTGCCTTTTGATCATCCTCCCTAACCTGCTTCATCCACCTTCCATGGATAGTCTGGGAAGAGCACCGAATCTCCCTCTTTTATCCTCCCTCATGGCTCTAAAGCCCTGCTCTCGAGTAACTTAACCTGTCCACTCTAACTGACCCTAGGCACAAGACTCCTGTGCTCGCCAAAACCCACTGAGGCCTGGGCAGCATGAGCTGAAACTTCCTTTGGAATCGAAGCTGGTGGTAGTCATCATATTGGTGCCCCTCTAAAGCTCTGAGGTAAGGCTCCTTGCAGGCAATGAACATGGCCTATACAGCAATGTGAATGGACTGAACAACACACAGTTCTGATGTAGGTTTTAACTGCACAACAGAATTGGTAAACGCTGATTTCTGTACCAAAATCGCCTTCTAACCCTGCTTGGAGGGGCCTGCCACGCAGAAATAAGTATTTGCCTCTTAACACCATTTTTCCATTTTGTTAAACGCCCTTGGCAATGCCTTGTTCACCGAAGTTGTCCCGGGATGTGAGATGGCAGGTAACAGAAGCCTCCCTGCTACTCTTGGGTCTCATCAATGAACAAGAAAGTACTACGAGATCTTCCAAGCAACTAGACAGCTGGGGTGTCTGCCTGCTCTCTTCTGGGCCTGACTCTGCCAGCCGGTCTCTCGCTGAGATGCCCCTACCTCTGCAGGTAAATCCTACTGCTCCACGCATGGGTGACAGAATTGTGCTCTGTATAAACGTGTGATATGTTTTCCACCTGAAAGACACTGAACCAGAGCAGGGATAACCTTCATTTTACAGACTCTTTTCATCCTTCCTCAAAACCAATCATTACTCAGGCTTAATGTACACTGAATGGCTTTTTAGTTGTCCCAAAAAAGCATTCGTAGCTTTCAGGTAAGATTTTGGCACTTGTCCTTGTGTTTGAGGGTAGGCAGAATGTGAACAGCCCAGAGCATAACTACACTGCAGGCACCAACTCGCCCCAAACCTGTTACTTGTCTTGTGACTGAGCAACTAGCTGAATCGTTTTTATAGTCTCCTACCGCACTGCGAGCATTGCTGCTGTATGCCCTGGCTGGAGTGGTGTGGCTGTGGTTGCTGCGTTAGGACTGCACCACTATAGTACAATTACCCTATTAGAAGCAAATACAGCATCATGCCGTTGTGGTTTCTTTAGTAGTAGGTTTCCTGTGCCTATCCTTGGCTGTCGATGCTTCACCCTCATTCATACACACGTTATTACAGGAACCTCGAGGTTCCAACTGAGACTGGGGCTAGGGGCTGTGCATGCAGGGTAGGAAACGCTCCCTGTCCTGCAGAGTTTTCAGTCTAATGGACAAGACAAAGGGAGGGAGGGGAAGCAGGAGCGTGGAGGGGTGAAGTGACTTGACCAGGTCATTGGCAGAGCTGGGATAAGAAGCCTGGTCTTTCGATTCCCAATCCCAGGCCAGTGCTCCCATCCCCTGGCCTGTGCCGCCATCCTGAAAACCTGTACCACGCCCAGTGCGCTGCACGGCACCAGTTATTAATCAACTTGCAGGCCATGAATGCTGCACCAGAAGGAATAAACCACATTCAATCTAAACCCATTTCATAGAGGTGACGGTCTAATTCCTGGGAGTATGGGACACTGCACACCGCTAGGCTCCCATCTGCCACTATCGGCCTTTCTTAGTGATCATTTGGCTTGTGATTGCTTGTCCACCTTCTTAATACAGGCTTGTTCTGGTGTAGGTTTTTAAGAATTAATATACCCCTGGCATTACCTCTCTGTGTCTGCGTCCACTCTTCTCCAAGCCAAACGATAGAATAGGATGTTAGCCTTTGACTCAAAGCCTTTAGAATTCTTTTCATTTAGGCACCTTCTATGAAGAGGTGATTCTGAAATGTGCTGGCTTAGTTAGGATGTCTCGCCCTAGCCACTCAAAGAGCTGCAACTCTGTTCAAAGTAGCTCCGGTGGCAGGGGCTCGCCCTTTTGGTGCTGAAGTTGCAGTGTTCAGTCGCTGCTGATGCCCTTGGTCGCCGTACGGGGGCGGCTCCCCTTTGTTACAATTTCAAACGAAGCAGAGCTGCCGGAATAAGTTAGCCAACAGACGTCAGACGCTGCAGCGCCGAAGGAATCTATTTTTGCCCCATGGTTCAGTATCAAACATACTGTGGGTATTTCTTGCTGGCATAATGCAGCTGCATGCCTTCCCTTCGCACCCGTCTCTGGGTAGCATTATAGCCCAGGAATGTCGCTTAAGCAAGGGGTCAGTGTAAAATTTAATGCAATGGCCCTTTCCTCTCCAGCTGATAACAGGGCCATGCATTTCTGGCCTGGGCATCAGAAGACTGTGTCCGCTCAGCGGGGTCCCATTCCAGTGCTGCTTCTCCTGGCTCTCCAGTAATTTGCTTTGTTACACCCAGTTTGTCTGTCTACCTAGGGTACGTGTCTCGCTCCTATCACGAGTATCTGAGCACTGCACAATTCATGTCTTTATCCTCACGACAGTCCTGAGGGGCAGGGCAGTGTGAATATCCATCCCCAGTTCACAGATGGGAAGTGAGGCACAGAGAGGCTTAGTTTAAAGAGCTCCACTGGTCCAGTCTAGGCCTGTGCCCATTTTAAAGGCACCTTCCAACTATTAGTAAATCTGCTCTGCCTATCCTGCCAGGCTGTGCAGAACTGCGCTAGGAGTGAAGCTAGCAAGCAGGCCCAGAGAGCTGGGCTGGGAGGTTCTGGCGCTCTGGGCAGTCAGGGTATTTGCTGGGAGGGAGAGCGCCCCGGCCCTGGGAGGCACAGAGTGCTCTGGAGGTGGGGCTGGGTGCGGGAGAGATGAGCCTTATCCCAGTGAATGATAGGAAGTAAATGCTAGCAGGTTAGATGGGTGGGAGGAAAGAAGGAACAGGGACACTATGAGCGTCTCCAACAGCCAGGACACAAGGTAAGGGTTGCCTCAGTGTCCAGCATTCGCTTTTTGAGCTACATGTGCATGGCAGGGAAGGAGAAGATCTCTTGATATATGTACAGCACCTAGCACAGTGGTGCCTTGATCCTTGACTGGGGCCTTTTGGTGCTTCTGTGTATAATTGACTGGTGCATCACTGAAAACGTCCAGCAAACATCTTTCTTTTCAGCTCACACCAACTTTCCATTCCTGGCTTCCCCTCAGCTCAGGCTGAATGGCAGGGTGGGGGGAGAAAGGTCTGAAAACCCTGGGGAAGCCCCTCCCTCATCCTCTCTTCATTATATTTAGACATTTTAAGAGTGTTTTTTATTTGCTAGGAAGTGCAACCAAGGTGTATGTCCTGCCCTTCCCCACGGCTGCTCTCGGATCCTGTGCGCCTTGGCTGTTGGAGCTGGCTGTCAGAGGCCAAGTAGATTCACCTCTGGCTCCACGCCTTTTCCTGTTTCCTGCCGTCTAGCGCCAGGGCTGGAGGTAGTGCGAGCGGCTGGGAAGGAAAACAGACCCAGCATTTGATGGAGCACAACAAATGGCTTCAAATGCCTTCACTGGGTGATCCCCCTTTCCTCTAAGCACTTGTACTAGGCCTTAGCCCTTCTTCCTCCCACAGAGCACTTCCTTTTCCCCTTGTCTGTTCCTAAGAGAATCCACTTCTCCCTCTCTCTCCTTCCCCGAGTCCCACCCATTCTCTGTCCACTCCAGGGACCCTCCCCGTCTCTTCTCTGTCCCTTCTACCTCAGCTCTCCTCCCTCTTCTTCTTGGGGATCCACCTTAAGGCACAGCTATTGGCTTCCTCCAAAGTGCAGAGTAAACATGCCCCTGCCTCTAATATTTGGAACCAACTAGTCAGGCAGCAGTTGTCTTGTCCTAGGGCACCAGGCCCCCTCTCTCTCACCTAGCAGGAGCTTGTAGAAACCAGTGTGTTGATTCGAATGGCCTGCATGCACACACAAGTAGATGCTCCATGTATACACATGCAAATTACTTCATTTTGGCAAGTATCAGGGGGTAGCCGTGTTAGTCTGTATCTACAAAAAGACAAGGAGTCTGGTGGCACTTTAAAGGGTAACAGATTTATTTGGGCATAAGCTTTCGTGAGTAAAAACCTCACTTCTTCGGATGCATAGAGGTAACAATACAAGCATCACTACTCTGTCCCAGAGGAGTGGTTCTCAA